TGTGTCGTCTTATCATCGACACTTAGCTTTTATAGCTTGACTTAGCAGTGCCTAGATGTACAATTGAGGTATCTGTACAAATTTCCACCTATTGCGTGTGAATGAATATTACCTGGTACAACGCGAGCAAAGTCATTTGGGCCTGTACTTTGACCTATGATCGCTGGCTGACCTACTGATTTTTATTGTTAGTTTTGGTACGAGCGACTGTGTCTATTGGTTATACAAAACAATTTGCATTTTTTCGAAACGTGCATGTTTATATTCATAGATTTGATATTTTCATTTTCGCATTGCTTGCAAAGGTGCCAGCGGGCAGTGTAAATTTGTTTCCATTATCAATGGAAATAGGGCAAAAGTTAAACAAAATCTGGTTCTAGCAACATTTACATTTCGTTTGTCTACGCAGCTCCATTTTCTTATGTAAGTACATCTGTAAATGAATGTATAATTCATGTTAAAAGTCATTCAAATACAAATATCAATATATAGCTCATAACAGTTTCAAAAAGCTCAAGTGTTGTAAACGGCAAAAAAAAAAAACAATTTTGAAGAATGTTAATAACTTACTAAACTATAATTTATTCCTAAGCCCTTTCTAAGCACTAGAAAGTTTCTAAAATATACTATATTCGAACGAAATTCACTTAAAAAGTTTAACAGAAAATGTTTAAATAGCGAAGCAAACTAGTAAATAAACATTTTTATTTATTGTGTTAATACAGGTTTCATCTGAAATAGGTATATGATCAGAATAAGTATATCTTAACCCGCGTAAGACCCATACATGCATAGATGCTTGTCACTGTGACAATTGCATGTTTTTGCCTCAACGGTGATAAGAAAGCCGGGCCACTTTTAAATGTGTATATTAATGATTACGCTGCAGTTTTTGTACTTAAAATAACCAAAGTTTGTGTGATGAAAGTTGCACGTTCACCCGGCAATTCAAAGTTTCGGCGTTTACGAACACTGTTTAAATTAGAAACCCTTTTTGAACGCCCATGGGGCAACAACGAGACTGTTTGATATGTTTAAAACATAAGGTTTAGCTGTTCCTGCTTTGATTTCTTGATTATTTCAATGTCAATATATGAGACACTCAATTTGCATATTTACATATCAAATAGCGCATTAAATATTCTATTTGTTTTTTGCTTGCAGCATCCCGGCGGCGAAGAGGTGCTCATCGAACAGGCCGGCAAAGATGCCACTGAAAACTTTGAGGATGTGGGCCACAGCAACGATGCCCGCGAAATGATGAAAAAGTACAAAATTGGTGAGCTCGTTGCCAGCGAGCGCACGAATGTTGCACAGAAATCGGAACCCACCTGGAGCTCAGACACACAGAACGAGGAGAGCTCAGTCAAGTCATGGATATTGCCCCTGGTGCTCTGTCTGGTTGCCACGCTCTTCTACAAGTTCTTTTTTGGCGGCGCCAAGCAACAGTAAAGACAAAAATGTGTTGCCTCAACGCTGGACCGCTACTGCCTCCGATTCGGACACAGATCACACATACACACACACACGGTCACACACACACACACACACACACACACACACACAAACACACACACATACACAGTCGCATTCCCATGCCATGCCTTTAATATTGTTGTAGTGTGTTCTACGCTTGCGGGAGGCTTCTAGCCGGGCTAGTCGTTGCAGCTAGCGGGTTTTGTAGAGAGAATTTGTGCTAAGTTTTTTTTAAAAGATAACAAATGTGAATGTTTTGGCATTTTGTTTTTGTACTAATTTGCTTAAGTGGGCTTGAGTTTTCTTATAGATAATTGTTTAACTTTTCAACATGCAACAAAAAATATACACATATATTTAAATATACTATTAAATATGAACGTATTCAAAATCGCATGGCGTTTACTCATTCGTCGAAACTAATCTAATTTTCGAATATGTAATATTCTCTCAACTGTTAAAAAAATGTCAAAATTTCTGAATGTAGCTATCTTGGCTAGTACATGCTCGATGCTTGCATACTCCTCCACCCCGGTATCCCAGGATAGGAACAAGGCGCCGCAGATGAAACGTGAGCTGCCTACTCGCAGTATGAGCCTGGACTCATTGCGCCGCACGGAGTACGATATTTTGATTATTGGCGGTGGTGCAGTGGGCGCTGGCTGTGCCCTGGATGCGGCCACACGTGGACTCAAAACCGCTTTGGTTGAGGCCGACGATTTTGGCAGTGGCACATCCTCGAAATCCAGCAAGTTGTTGCATGGCGGCCTCAGGGACCTCGATCAAGCAATCGGTCATCTCGACCTGGCGGCCTTTCGACGTGTCCACACCTCTTTAAAGGAGCGCAGCAACATTACCAATTTGGCGCCGCATTTAAATCAGCCCGTGCCGATTATGTTGCCCGTGCATCATTGGTGGCAGCTGCCCATCTACTGGGTAAAGCTGCATCTATATCATCTGATGGCGCCTGGCTCCACAAAAGGTTTCCATTTCATAAATTCACGTGAGACGCTCGAAATGTTTCCCATGATGCGCCGCGAAATCTTTGGTGCCTTTGTCTTTTACGAATGGCAGCACGATGATGCCAGGATGTGCCTCGCAGTCATTTTAACAGCCTCCCGCTATGGCGCCGACATTTGCAATCATATGAAGGTGGTTAGGTTGCTGCGCGACAAGAAGAACCTGGTGGTGGGCGCCAAAGCAGTCGACCAACTGACTGGCAAACCCTACAATATTCGCGCCAAAATGGTTATCAATGCCACGGGGCCAATGAGCGACACCGTTGCACGCCTGGAGGATGCCCAAGCGCCGACACAGTGCACACCCACCTGGGCCTCTCACTTAGTGCTGCCGCCCTTCTATTGCCCCGAAGAGGTCGGCCTGTTCGATCCGTACACAAAAAATGGCTCGGCCATATTCTTTCTACCCTGGCTGGGCCACACGCTGATGGGCACCTCGGATGAGACACGCGAGGAGAGCGAAGGGCCACAGCCAACGGAAATGGAGGTGCAGTACCTGTTGGACGGCATTCGGAACTATATCAATCCCAACTTTGATGTGCGACGCTGCGACGTGTTGGCCGTTTGGGGCGGCTACAAGCCGCTGCCCATTCAATCCAAGGCGCTGCAACATTCGACCTTGAAGAATCATGTTATTTCTTTGGGACCGGGCAAAATGATCTCAATTGTGGGCGGCACCTGGACGTCCTTTCGGCTGATGGCCGAGAAGGCAATCGACACAGCTATCAAAAGTGGTGACTTGGAGCCATTGCGGAGACACGCAATTACAGCGACTCACTGTAAATTGGACGGGGCCGATGGCTGGTCACCGAACATGTTTATAAGACTGGTGCAGGATTTCGGCCTGGAGGAAGATGTGGCCAAGCACTTGTCCGACACGTACGGCTCGAATGCCTTCAAGTTGGCCGTTTGTGCCAACTCTTGTGGTGGCAAGTGGCCGATTATAGGAAAACGGCTGCACTCAGAGTTCCCCTATATTGAGGCGGAGGTGCGGCAGGGCGTAAAGGACTATGCCTGCACGTTGGTCGATATGGTGGCACGTCGCCTGCGTGTTGCCTTCCTCAATGTGCACGCGGCGGAGGAGATATTACCGCAGGTGGCCAACGAAATGGCACGCGAGTTGAAATGGAGCAAGAAAAGAAAGTTGAAGGAAATCATAAGGGCTCGACAATTTCTCAACACCCAAATGGGACACCCACCCAAAAATGAGCAATCCCAGATGAACATACCCATCAAAATGTCCGTGCATCAGGTCCAAAAATATGCGGCCCACTTTAAGACTCTGGACGAGCAAAACACCGGTTTTGTGTCCGTAAACAAATGCTGTGCGGCGATGAAAACGTTTGGAGTCAAAGAAGTGCCCGTGGATCTGATGCACAACGTCCTGCGAGACATCGACTGCCATTCGCAGGGCAAGGTGAATCTCTACGAGTTCCTGTTGCTGATGTCGGCCATTGTGCACGGCGACACGGCATATTTGCGCTATGCCAAAATGACTCTCGACCAGAAACTTTCGGCGATAAGCAATCGGCGGAGCAAAAAGCGTGCATTGCCTGTCGAGCGTTCTGGAGGCGGTTTGTGATGTCTAAATTAGTCCTTTTAAAATGCGTAATGTCATTGAGCAATAAATAGTAATAAATCTACTTATTACTCCAATGTCTTAATGTAAACAATTAACAATGTTCTGTTATACTTTATGTGCGCTGCCACATCAATGGAAAATGAACTGCCAGTGTTGCCACACTGTTCTCGCTTAGGTAAGTGTTGATAAGGGAAATTTAAAATCTTAAGTATATGAAATAAACCGACTTTGTCAATTTAAAAATTACCTGCCTCTAATCTAATATTTTAGTTGTGTGTGTTGATATATATATTTGAATTGTAAAACGTTTACATACGAAATTTACTTTGCGCTAAGTTGGATACCGACGCATTTAAGTTATTTTGTAGACTCGAAATCTTTAACACTTTTATATTTTTCTCTTAGCAACACTCGTATATGCCTTAAAAGGTCTTTGTATTTTTCTATTTATATGTATTTTTAACATTTTATATATGCATTTTTGCAACATTTACTATAGCGCACTAATAGTGTCGTTCAATACATCAATTTCTTTCCATTCTGTTGCAGCATTTGTAGCAATTGCGCCGCCAGGTAAAATATATCATGGATTTTGTAAATATGTGCTTATGCAATACACATGCAAAAGTAAAACAATAGTAAACAATTATAAATGTTAGTGCTCTATGTATGTTTAAATCGAAATACTCAAATAATAAAGTTAAACTTAAATAAATAGAAATAAAAAGTTTCCTTTACAGAATAGTTAATAAGAAAATATATAAATAATTGTGGCGGCATGTTTTATACATTCATTGATGTAAGCATGAGAAATACACTTCTTGACATGGATTTTTTTTTGTTTTTTTGTTTTTTTTTGTTTTGAGTCCTGGTGCACTAAAGACACTTTCACTCTTAGATCGGCTAATGTAAATATTAGCTACTTAACTTTGACCTGAGCTGAGACATTTTTATTCTACTAATATATCGACGTGTACTCATTCAAATGGAATAACAGCATTCGGTTAATTTGGGCATGTGCGCGTGTGAAATTTAAATAAAACATATTGATTCTACGATGTGTTGTGCACTGGGCATGATAAGTAGTACATTTTCTTTTTGTTTTGAACTGTCCGAACTGTCTAAGCGACAGCATCTGTGGCGCACTCCTCCTCGACAGTAATGTACATGCCCTCCTCCTCGTAGGCAGAGTCATGCTTAGCCAGGATTCGCAACAGTGGACGCAAACGCAGCCACCACTGTTTCTTCGGTATGCGTTGACTGAAAAAATAGAAATATATGTGTGTATGAAAATCTTCCCTACTTGTATACAATCTATAATTATTTGGACTTACTCAAAGTTGGTCTCGCCAATGAGGTCAACCAACGGGCTGAAACGATATTGACGGGCAACGATGCCTAGCAGGGTTGCCGTATCGGTCGATTTACAGTTAACCACTCCATTGGCATCGATGTTATTCTTGATCTGGGTTGCCAGCCAGTCGACACACTTGGCGGCCATCTTGGTGCCCATGTTACGATCGAAGGGTGTGGGCGAGCCGCCCTGCTGCATGTGACCCAAGATGTTCATGCGGCAAGTGAAGAGACCCTTGCCCTCCTCCGAATACAGGCGGTAGATGAAGTCGGTGGTGTAGTTTTCACTGGCCTTCTCGTTGCGCAAGATCAGACCGCGGGAGACGCCTTCGGCCATTTTCGATGCCATGTGGTAGACATCCTGCTGCAAGTCCTTGATGGAGAACTTCTCCTCGTATATATAGGCAGCATCGGCGCCACCGGCCAAGCCAGCAAGTGTGGCCAGATAACCGCAATATCCGCCCATTGTCTCAATAACAAACACGCGTCGCTTTGTGCCCTGAGCCGATTGGCGAATGCGATCGCAGATTTCGGTTATCTCATTGAGGCCAGTATCGCAGCCCAGCGAGAATTCAGTGCCAGGCACATTGTTCGAAATGGTGGCCGGAACGACCACAATGGGTATGCAAAATTCTGGATAATTGTCACGCTGATCAGAGATTTGGCCAGCGGCATGATAGCTCTCGAATCCGCCAATGATCAGCAGACCCTGGATCTTGAACTCCTTGAGACGTGCAGCGATCTCCTTGAATTTGCCCTCGGGCAGCGTACGCTTAGTGCCCAAATAGGCGCCACCTTGGCCCACCCAGCCAGACACATCAGACCTGAAGAGTTCAAGTTAAGTGAATTGTGCCAAATGAAATATAAGTCTCCATACACACCAGCCCAGCTCGCGTACATTGCCAGCAATGAGACCCTCGACGCCATCGTTGATGCCGTAGACAACATCGCCGCGATAAATGGCATTTCGCACAAAGCTGCGCACGGCCGCATTCATGCCGCAGGCTGGGGCACCGATGTGCATCACGGCCAGCCTGTAGCCCTCAATGCCCTTGCCCTGTTCATCGAAGCACTCCTTGGGCGGCTTCAACCGGGTCAACATCTTGTAGGTTTCCAGATTGCGTTCAAACGAACGTCCTCGCAGCTTAACGGCATCCGCCCAACGGTGCTCCGCCATGGCCCTGGCCACGGCCTGGGTGCGTTCAACACACTCCATCAATGGCACACGAACCGTCTGGTTGCCGTCCAGGGAAATGACAACTGGCACCGATACTTCTGTGGCCTCCATCAGGGCCAGAGTGGCCTCAGCGCCCATGCGACAGGCCTGTCAAAAGAAGAACAGTGTTAAATAAATATTCATGATCCTCATATTCTAGTGAACTAATACCCTGGAGTGAGAAACTACCTTTATTGTTTCAGGCAACTTACCAATATACGGTCGAAGGCGCTGGGATTGCCGCCACGCTGCACATGGCCCAGCACAGTGATGCGAGCATCGTGTTTGAGACGCTCATCGATCACCTTTCGCACATCCTCAGCGGTAATTGGGTGGCCTTCGCGGTCCATGGCGCCCTCCGCAACAATAACAATGTTCAGACGTTGGCCAGCCTTACGTTCCTGTTTTCAGATAAATGCAGCAATTGTTAGATGGGGCTCTCTATGCGATTCTCAAAGATAAGCTTCAATGATATTAGTAACTCGTGTGTACATAGAATGTCATCAAAAGCAATGAAGAATGTATTAAATAAAGTACCACAAAATACATAGAATATGTAGACAGATGCGTGATGTATGTATTGATGTACGCAAAATAGTAAATGTAAAAGTGAAAATGTACATAAATGGGGTTAGACAACGTATGAGTCGGTGACTGAATAGAGGCAAGAATATGTGTATAGCTATAAAATGCGAAAATAAACAACTAATAAACAAGGAACCAAAACATATAGTAAATATATATGTATATATATATTGGTATATTTACGGGTCAAACTAAATAGAAGCCAATTAAATTGCCCAGCAAAATGTGAGACTACACTTAAACCCAATGAAAGCCAATTAAATTGCCAATTGATTAGTATTTGCTAGAATCAGTGTGACAAAAGGCTGCAGCTCTTTGCACAACTGTTAAAAATGTTAGAATTTCAAATCATATATCTTAAAATAGTTTTATTGAATACTTATATATATTTTAAAAGAAATTTAGAATTTTTAGTTCGATTAAAGAGAAACGAAAACACCGTCGTACTTTGTAGACTGATAAGCCTAAACAATTTGCTGACCTGAACCAGTTTCTGGCATAGAGAATCCTGCCAGTCAACGGCAACGGGCTCTTCGGGTATTAACATAAAATCAGCTTCTGTAGCGATAGCTGCTGAAATGGCTAAGTAGCTAAAAACAAACAGAAAATCAAACACAGAAACGATGCGCAATGCGATGAATTGTTATATTTGATAATAATTATTTACAATATGCTAGGACGGGGAGGGGGAATAGGGAATAACACGGGCTGAGGGGTAACACACATCCACTTGGGGGATCAGGGAGATATATGGCTGATTATTAAAAGAATGTGAAAAGCCTTTGCTGTAAATATATCTCTGACATGAGTTCAAATAAATATTCATGAAAGCCTAGCCATACTCAAACCAATCACATTTCGAATAGATTTCAAAAGCAATAAGCAAAATATAAACTCAAATTGATGTATGATATATATATATATATATATATATATATATACTATATCAAGGCTGCAAAACGGATTTGAGCCGAGGTATACAATATCTGATTTACCATGAACCGATGAGAGTACAGCCGAACCTAAAACTGAACCAAACCAGATTTTCCCCAAGACAATATTTTTATATATTACTATTATTATTATTTTTAAATATTATTGCCAAATTTGTTAGTTTTTGATATGATTTCAATGTAGATATAACCAATTTAATATATATAAAATATTGTATTGTATTATGGAAAAATGTGAGAAATGCGAGAACCCAAGTTCCATCGAACTTTTAAGGCGAGAGATGGGTTTGAACCGTGAACCGACCCATCGAACATTCTTCTTCTTTTTTTCTTTGGGTTTGCAGCCTTGATATATATATATAATGTGTATATGTGTGTGTGTGTGAGAGATGAGTATATATACTACCATGTTCTGTTGTGTTTATATTCACAAGGAAAAGCATATATGAGAGAGAGAGCAAACACACGGAGAAGGTGTGTTTGTGTTTGGGTGTTGTCTAAAAGTAAAAAAGAAATTAGGTTCACATCTTGCCTGAGCTAATTGAAAGCAAAGCCTATCTGGCCAATCGGTTTTCGGTGGCATTTCGGGTATAAATATGAAATCGGCCTCGCTGGACAGGCCAGCAACGAGCGCTAAATAACTGCAAAAATATGTTGTATTATAGTTGGTTATACATAAATGTTATAAAACTATGTTAGAATAGGAATATAAAAGGGAGACAGAACGGGGGGGCAGAAATGGGTTAAAAAGACGGCATTCGAAAGGCAAGAAACTTTGAAAGGACACTCAGAAATGAAGCCTAAAACATATATGGTAGATAACATATCAGGAATATAAACAATATATATAATAAACATCCTGAAGAATTAAATTTCATATACTTAGTTCATATTTAGCCTGGTAGATTCAATTAGTTCAAAATTCTGAACATATTAACCTATTGAAAATTGCGTATTTTTTTTCATATCAAAATAAATGGAAAGGCAATTTAAGAATCTCAAAGCGAATCTGAGCGAATCCCTAGACTTTAGTCAGAGTTATGAGAAGAACATTCAATGCTTGAATTAGAAGAGAGAACAAAGAGCGATTCGGATCTGTCCACAGAGACATATTTGATAGATAAAGAAAAAAATGAGAGACACATTGATCGAGCTGGGTTTCTTGCCTGTTCCAGTTTGAGTATCAGTCTATCGGGCCAATCTTGCGGAGGCGGAGACTCTGGCAGAAAGACATAATCTGCCTCGGATATAACGCCAGCTACAACTGGTAAATAGCTGTAGGTATATTGAAGGCATTTAACATAATCGTTACAAATCAAATTTCCGCATTTGGCGGAACTAACAATTTCTTAAGTAGTTACAATCGGACATTAATTATATGCTACATCCGGCAATCCGACAACGAACGACTTACCCGCAATGACGACCCATGACCTCCATAATGAAGGTGCGCTGATGGGAGTAGGCGGTGCTGGAAATGGCATCGATCGCCTCGATAATGCGATGCAGTGCGGTATCCGTGCCGATGGTCATGTCCGTGCCACAGAAATCGTTATCAATCGATCCCACCTAGAACATACGAATAATGCGATCATTATAGAATCGAGTAGATGGAGCGAGAGGGCGGGCAACTTACCAAGCCGACGATGTGCAGCACATTGTACTTCTCCTTCTGCTCGGCATTAATGGTGCCATTCTTCGAGAGCTCGTCCAGCAGGCTGGGCCACTCCTGACGGAACAAGTTGGCGCCGGTCAGGGAGCCATCGCCGCCAATTACCACCAGATTGGTAATGCCCCGCTGGATCAGGTTGTTGGCGGCCTTTAGGCGGCCGGCGCGCTCACGAAAGTCCTGGCAACGGGCTGAGCCAATGATCGTGCCACCACGGTGTATAATCGACGAGACCGATGCCCACGATGCTTCCTGGATACATTCGCCACCATCCACCATGCCCTGGTAGCCTTCCCGGATGAAGTAGACCTGGTTTCAAGGAGTAACAGAAAAAAAATGGAATATGAATTGAATGTAAGATATTAATATAAGCTATTTCTGACTGAGTAATATGTGCTAAGTAAGAATTAATTAATTTTATACATATTCTTAGCCAGCATTAACCGGCTTTGTCCGGGCAGTTTTTCATATTAAAACTAAACTAAACCAAAATTCAGTTTGTTGAGCTTCCAAATTAAAATGCTCTACAAAAAGCTAAGAATGTCAAATCAAAGTTCTAGCCTAAAAAAGCATCATCCTAGTTTTAACCGCTGTGTGCTGCTTTATATATATAGAGATATGTATATATAAATATATATATAGATATGTACAATATGTTTAGCACTTATCAGGTTTAATATGCGATAAAACTTAGAAGCGTTTAAAAATAAGTGAATGAGTTAAACCATGTTGTTGTCGAGATAATGTCATACATCCAAGTTCCTAAGCCCCAATAGGGTTTATGACGTCATGACTTTTAAAACAAACAACCGCAGGTTGAGCATATGACGATTTCAACATTTTATTATGCTTTTACTACTTAACTTCAACATCTTGTTGAAGATTACAAATCTGGACTTTCTTGGGAGTGTTTTCTCTGCCAGCATAAAACAAAAGTGAATGAATGAAAATGAAAGTGACTTTGAAAATAACATAAAACAAAAATAAAAAAGCCTTGCGGCAATTTGTTCATTGCAAAAATCATCATCAAACAATTGTTAGTAATTTATATCAATTGCAATTATTTAAATATGAACAATTTTTAGTAATTTATATCAATTGCAATTATTTAAATTTCGACAAATTGTTATAAAAATTAATTAGTTCATTTTTGCAGACAAATAAAAGGCAAACTCTCCTTTTTTACTCCGTTCGCCAATCAATAAAAGCAATAAATAAATAATTTACTTTTCAAACAATAAACGCAATTTCTCAGATATTTCTGCGAGATCGTCTGTAAGTTGCCCGAAATAAACTCAATGTCAAATGCGCACAGATACAACTTGTGTGTGTGTGTGTGTGTGTGTGTGCGCGTGTGTGTATTGGTGTATGTATGGTTGTAGTTGTGAGGCGCTTCTATTTAATTTGAATATTTCGCTTTTTTCTCGGTGCGACATGGGTTATCTAACGGCACTTGACACCTGCAGAACAAGCTAATTTGTTGAATTGGTTTAATTATGTTTAAATTGCTTCGACTCGACAAGAATTGAGAGCAAGTGCAGCTAAATATATTTTGGTACATAATATTTATAGAGAGTTTGTAGACCCTAAAGTTCAATGCCTCAACTTGGTCCGCTGACCGATAAGAATAATATTGTGAATAGTATTTGTATGTGTGTGCGGATGTATTGGTGTGTGTATTTGGTTGTAGATACAGCAGTGTAAAAGCACTTGGCAGAGGTCAAAACTCACCTTGCATCCCAAATAGATGGCCATACGCACACAGGCTCTCACCGCCGCATTCATGCCCTGCGAGTCGCCGCCGCTGGTAAAGACGGCCAGGCCCTTGTCGCGCTGCGAGCCGCGTGCCAGGAAACGTTGGTTAATATCACTATTCATTTTAGCCACACTCCGTTAGTTAAACAACGGTGATAGACACACACACACAAACACACGCGAACGCGAACGTAGCGAAGTCCAAGTCTGATGCAGCGAATACTTTGTGAATGATTCACAATGCGCACAACTGGAGGAGCTGCGTGGAAGCCGAGATGTCCAAAATGTATTAAATCGAAATCTTATGCTGCCGCAGATGCCGTGACTGTGTGCCTGCGCGACGATTTTCAGTAACTGGGTGCGAGAGCGGCGGACGGTCGGTCGGTCGAGCACAGAAGTTTCGGTTTTGACGTTTCAAGGTGACCTTTAAACGCAGCAAACGCTTTTTGTTAAGCGCAACTGCCCGACGCCACTGATGCAATGAACTGGTTGTCTGGCGTATTTGTCGCGTTGCGCTGTCTCGATTTGGGCGCTGTTGCACTCGGCGCGATTTTTGACAATATGTTTCTTTAATGCAACTAATTAGAACGGTTTATGCGGCCGGGTTTTTGCTATCAATTTGTACCTATTGTGGGCGAATTACGCTATCGGACTCTTTTTTGTTTACCTCACATTCAAGTGAGTGTCACAATGACAGCTGTGCAACAGCTGTGCGCGACTGCCGGATAAAAGCTCTCTCTCTCTCGCTCGCACGCTCGCGAGCTTTTGTGCGAGCTTCGTGCACGCCTACGAGAGTGCTGTAGCCGTTAACTTTTGAACTTTAACCGCGTGCATTGAATCGAACATGTTACTTACATAGCCGTTAACTTTTGAACGTTAACCGCGTGCATTGAATCGAACATGTTACTTACATAGGGATAATGTGGCTTTACATAGTCCAAAACATCCTGGAAGGTGCGTATGCATTTTCGTAATTGTATTACTTCCTCTTTACTTTCCATATCAGTATTGCTGTCCATTGATTTGGTGTGGTTATTATCACCGCAGCTCATCTGGACCAGCTGCAAGACAGACAGAGAGAGGGAGAGAGAGAGAGCGATTATTTCTTCCAAAAATTGTCAACAATCAGCTCTACACACATTTCTCCTGATTTTAGAATGGAAGTGGGAACCCCAATATTTTAAAAACAGCAAGCAATCAGAATTTAAGAACTCGGAAACATGCATGCCCAGCGCAGAACTCTTCTTGATCATTGGATCATTTATGCAATGATCCTGCCTCTCCAGCCATTCAGTTGGATTATTCGTCCATTTCGTAAACTCCCTCTCAAAACTAGGAAATCGATTAATACTGTACAGAGATTCGGTGCTCTCTGGACCCCACGGAGCAGCAGGGCCATTGATCGCATTGAATATAGACAACACATCGACAAGGTATTTACACAGATAATTTTGATACAATTCTAGATCGTTGTCTCGTAGGGCCATCAAACAGTTATACTTTTCCACTGAATCCGTAAAAGTCTCCATGCGCAATCTAAAAGTCTTCAATTTCTCATCGGAGCTCGGTCGCATATCTTTGATCTGTTGCGTCCATAATTGATTTTTAATCTGCAAAGCGAAAAATATAGAATACATAATATTTGATCTAACAATTAATTTACCTTATTTATTTGATTCACACTCAAATTGTGGTCCAATGGAGAAGCTTTCGATAATTTGCGATTGATGGGATAATGCTGGGTCTTCGGCAATCGATCTTGTGATTGGACAAAGCTATGGGATATACATTGAGCAAATATTTCCAATACTTGGCGCTGGGCATTATCTCAGACATACCTAGCTTTTAATTTTGTAAACACTCGAAATTTGATTGGATGCATGCCAAGTTAATAAAGGTCCAAAACATCTATTGTGTCGTTTCTAAATCGCATTTCAATTTTATAAAAACTATATATAACAAAAAAATAAAAATGAAAGCCCACTCGGTTATTTTTGGATACATAGAGAAGCCTAATTTGGAATATTCAAATCGATTTGAAACAAAGCAGCAAACTGGACTTTAACCAAGTTTTGTGTATCTTAAAATCCAACATTTTAATACAGTCGAAAAATTATTGGCTTAAAATTTTAAAAAGTTTTGGGTAAGACTCATCTCCAAGGCTCCAACAATTGGACTTTGTAGGACTTTAATTTAGAGTGGAACAAGCAATTATAATCTTCAATTCAATAAAGTTAAATTAGGCATATTAGGTTCTTTTTTATTTCATCAAAACGTTGTTCCACTTTGATTATATAAAAGTATGATACATATTAAAGGATTCTTGTTGATAAGTCAGCTCTTCCTCCTCGCTCTCCCCCCAAAACTTGCATGACGAACATTCAGGAATTAAATGTGTCCTTAGCGTATTTGCAGCTATCACATTATCGAACGACATTATTTGCCATAAATGGAAAATTCTACATTAAAAATAGTTGGAGTTAAATTAAAGGAATATTTAAATGGGCTTACTATTACATGAAAATGTGCGTCAGTATATCAGTAAATCAATACTTAGGAAAACACCGCATCAAAATCTTGTAGGCCCTAAATGAGGCCATGAAATTCGCATAGAAAGGCGCATTTAGTCTTTAAATATATTGAGTAGTTGTTCGTGGACTCTCCTATTAATTTGTTGCTTTGTTAGATCGAAATCCTTTGGGAGCAATAGGGATATAGGCAAGAGCTTAACTTACATATGATTAGACCTTTTTAGTTCGCCTTCCGAAGTTCATATACAGGACATAAAAGTGATCTGGCGTTAGCATTAAAGCTTTGTTAAAATTTTGAATCGGCTTTCTTTTCACACTCTGTCCTCGAAAAGCCGGGCTGGCATACACATTTGCCGGCTTGCAGGTAGATTCAACTGGTTTTGGAAGCGTGTCTTTCTTTTGATAATTCAAGTGTTTGCGCAGATAATGCATAGTATTGAGGACATCCAGTTGTTTGGGGGTCAGATCATCGCGCTGTGTCTTAACACTTGGGTTTCAAAACAAACGGATTATATGTTATACACCTGGAATTTGTGTAGATATTGTGGCTTACTTGTTTAAAATCATTGTGGCCATGCGACAGAAGTCATCGACGATGCCGTCAACCGAACTGATAATGGACAAAACCTCGGTGGTATTATCGCACATATAGCGGTAATACAAATCGAGATTCGAATCGCGCAATTCCGCTAAGTATTCATATTTCTTAACTGGATCGGTACAGCTAGACATTCGGTTCTTAAATGCCGCCATGCTACGAGAGCCGAATAGGACCCGAGAGCGACCCGTTTGTCTATTGACATCCTTTCTCTGAAGATCGACACAAGAGTCCGCATCGCCTGCAACGTATTTATAATCTTTGTGCAGGTAACGATTTAAGCAAATGGAACGGCATTTTGGTGGAATATTAAATATCCTGTGGCGGGAGAGTCTCTAGATTTTTAGTAATATTTCACATTTGGGATTAATTGCATCGCACATACCTAGCCTGGAATTTTGTCAATACTTGAAATTTGAGGTTATGCATTCCTAATGTTTATTAAATTTAGACGCAAATCAAGAAATATTTGGCATGCTTTGCTCATACTAATGCTCAGTTTGTATTGCCAGTTTAAAATCAAACAATTTTCCGCTTGCTTTTTTTTTATTTTATTTGTTTTTTTTGTTTTTGGTTTTTTTTTTTGGTAATTAAGAAACTGTAATTTCAATAAACTTAAATTTTTCACATCAATCTTTGCCTCCATTATGCATACAATTAATGTGTGCTCACTGTTTTGTTTTTTACGTTTTTCTTTTATTATTATTATAACTCATTTTGGATCTTTTAAGTGTTGTATGTATTATGTTTTGCAGTTTCATTGGTTATTCGACATTTTTAGCGTTGCGACAAAAACCTAACCTCACATATATATATATGTATATATATATATATTTATGTATATTGTAAGCGTAAAATTCAATTGCGAAAATATACAGTTACTGTTCTTATGCACACACACACATGAATACAAATACGTATTTGCATATCATTTGAATTTCCTGGACAATAATCGTATATATGTATATATATATAAATGTGCATATATGTGTATTATCGGTTTTTTTTTGTAGCTTTTGTTGTCGCCGTCTTGAATTAAAATTGAATATACTTAGCTTTCAATATAGGTATTTTGGATTTTGATTAGTTATCATTTCCTGTTCTTTTGTTACTGCCAGTTGATGAAGTTTGAATTCAATGAAACGCCTCGATGAACAAAACTAAATGTGTATGTACACACACACATACATACATATGTATGTCTGTACATACATATGTATGTATGTGTGTGAGTATCAACGATAAAGCAATATGTGTTGATGTTAGATGAGTTTAGCAGCATCTTAAAGCCAATGCCAATAATTAGCATCGTTCGAAAAATAAATTTAGATTTTATGATGTATTTTCACTTGCTTCACACACCGGTTTTTTTTTCGTTTTTGTTTTTTTTTTGGGAGGGGGTTTACATCGAAACACATAGATGATAATAATAAAAATAAAACACTGAGACATTTAAGTATAACAATTGCACATTGATACTGTTATATTGCTGTTTGCTTTTGCATAATTGCATATAAGTAAGTGTTATATAAGTACGCTATAAATATTTATCGCATCGATACGAATTATTCTTTTCATCCAGATGGCAAAAGCCCTGGAATTGTTTTTTTTTTGTTTTTTTTGTTACTTTTTTGTTTATTCCCCGACAATTAACCGATTACTTTTACATGCAAAGATACAAGAGTATTGAAAAATCAAATGAAAAATTCCAACCGGCACAATAGAACTCATGCCCTTAAAGCTGTCCGCAAGTTGGAATTAACTCTTTTCCTGCCCATTGAGGGAACATTCTTTACATTTTTCAATCTTCAACATTATTCTTTGGCTTTACTTTGCAATTGGAAAACTAAAATGATATTAAATGATATTATTTGAACTGCATTCTAAATGCACCACTTTGTTTTAAATGAACGAAATCAAAATGTAATATAAAGGGTTCAAATAAAAGTTAAGATTTATGTTGTTTTTTTTTTTATTTGTTGTTGTATTTTAGAAAAAAAGAATTACAAATAATACAGAATTTGTTTCTTTTGGTTCGCACGGGGCTCTGCAGCAATGCAGATTGTTCTTTGACGACGAAAAATAAATGGGCATTATTTGTAATTACATAGAAATGTTGTATAAACCAATTATAGCCTTTGTTTTTAAGGAAAGCGACGCAGCGCATTAAACAAAAAATAAAAGACAATTAATTTTTATTTGTTGACTGTGTCTTGTGTTCTGTATGTTAATAGAAAACAAAATGATAATTATTTATTAAAACATAATTATAATAAATAATATTACTTTTAGGCATATGTATAGTGTACGCAATTGGCCGAAACAGCGGAATAGTAATATTAACTACACAAAACGAAATTCACATCATTGCCATACACACACACACACGCACACACTGTAATTCCTCTTGTTCTTGATAGCTGATAATTTTATTTAGATAATTATATAAGATTTGACTCGGATAGTTTGATTTTGAAATTTGCTTGTGAATATTTGCAAGAGCCTATTACTATAACAAAGACAACTTGAACGGCATGTGAAGCAAATTAAGACGTTTGGGTTTCATTAACATTTTCTTTTATAGACTTTAATCAGCTTTGTTTTTTCTTTTTTTTAAGGTTGTTCTCATTTAACAATACTGGCTCGAATACATTTTTTTATTGCAATAAATTGCAATTTGTATACAAGATAAACATACCGCCCAAGCCAGATTCCGTTTACTCTTCAATTAGTTGTATGACAATAGTCCCACTTCTACACATCTCTCAGCCTCAAACTATCATCACACAGCCGCAAGCTGCATCAGTATCCTGCTGTATTGTTTAATGTTTAATGTTGTTTTGTTTGGTTTGTGTTTGTGTTTGTGTTTCGTGTCGATGCTGATGTTGATGTTGATTTGATGTTGCTTTTATTATTACATTACTGCTCTGCTGCTTTCGACTCCCAAAGATTTGTTTTTATATTTCATTTGTTTTGTTTGTTGTTTGTTTTGTTTTGTTTGTATTACTGAATAATATTTGCATAGTCAAAAAGGAAACTTTTTAGTTGTTTGGTTAGTTGTCACCGCCCTCCTGTGGCTCGTCGCCATCTCCCTGGGTATCGGAGGTCCAAAGAGTCAGGTTATCCCTCAACAATTGCATGATGAGTGTTGAGTCTTTGTATGAGTCCTCGTTCAGTGTGTCCAGCTCGGCTATCGCGTCATCGAACGCCTGTTTAAATTACACAATTAATTAAATATACGAACTAAAACAAATACAACAATAACAATATGCAAAATGCCGGCAAGGTAAAGGCAAGTACAAGTTCTTGTTCAAGTGCAAAACGAAAGCATTTCAATTCAATTAGAGGAATATATATTTTTAGTATTGGATTTAAAATACCTTTTGTTTCAATCAGCAAAACTAAGCAGAATTATTGAAAATAATCAAAATCAAAATAAAATAATTAAACATATTTATCTAGCAGGAACTCAAAAACCAATATACAATATACTATATGACCTAACGGTTAATGCACTTTCTCTTACAACCAATTAATAACTTCACCAGCAAGATATGGACCGCATTTTAAAGTGGTTAACAGGAACATAAGCCGGGCTTTCAATATACATACGTAGCATGCGAATTATATATATATATATTGTATATATTCCTCAGACTGTGAGATTGTGTTTGTTTAAAAAGCAAAGTTCCGGATGTTAGTCACATAACAGCAACAGTTAAATAATTAATTAATGAACAAACATTAAGTGTGTAGAAAGAATTTGAACCTGTTTAGCTAAATGACAAGCCCTCGCTGGTGAATTAATAATTTCGTAATAGAAGACGGAAAAGTTGAGTGCAAGACCTAATCTGATTGGATGTGTTGGCTGCATTTTAGTTTTCGCAATATCGAATGCCTCTTGATAAGCTTTTTTCGAGTCCTCAACGACGTCTTAAAATATGTACATCATTATTATACAAAAAAAAAAAAAAAAAGAAAACAATGAAACAAAAAGAAAATAAAGAACCAAAGTTCACAATTAGTTTTCGATATGATAAACACATTCAAAATAAAATTATATACGACTAAAAGTTATAACGAATTGAAATGGTTTTTGTTGTTGCACTTTGCTTGACTCTTGCTCGCCAGCCAGACGACACTTTGCTATTGGCACTTGAATATTAACCTGTTTAGCCAATTGGCAAGCCTTATCTGGAGAATTCAAAATCTCATAATAGAAGACTGAGAAGTTAAGTGCAAGACCCAAGCGGATGGGATGTGTTGGCTGCATTTTGCCCTTGCTAATGTCAAATGCATCCTGGTAAGCGGTTTGGGAATCGACAACAACAGCTGAATTTTCGTGAACACACAAAAAGATAGAGTTTACGATTTGTTTTTTTTTTTTTTTTATAAAGATCTTATTATAAGGTCTACTTGTAATAAGCCGCCTGTTGATACTTACTGTTGCGTGCGTCTCCTGTGGCGACCTCAGCTAAATACCTGTAATAATCTCCCTTCATCTTCAAATAGAAAACCTTGCTTTCTGGATTGCTGGCTTTTGGAATAAGATATTTGTCCAGAAGTCCCTGTTAATTAAAAAGTTAGATAACAAAGTATAAATATACATTCAACCTGAGCCACAGTTCATAATAAAAAAAGTAGTAAACCTAACCAACATGAATCTGAAGGCCTGACAATCCCTAAGCATATAAATAAACATTTCTAATTGCTTGGCGCACAATAAGCTGTGCTATTAATCCAATATTACGCCAGGCAAGCACAGCTTGCCCCACGCCACACTTAACCTGATACAAGAATAAATACATATACAGTATATGGCATGTCTGTGTGTGTGTGTGTGTGTGTGTGTGTGTGTGTGTGTGTGTGTGTGTGTGTGTGTGTGTCTGTACGTATGTATGCCAATTTTACAGTCGACTGCGGCACTTCAAAGTGTTATCGATTTTCTGTCACCAAAGAGAAAGGGAAGCCCAACAGTGTTGCCAACTGCCGCCACAAAAAGTAGCTGTAGCCGCTGTTGAAAATAGCTAAAGGCAGCTAAAAAAGCCGAAATATTTTTCGCAGAACAAATTTAAACCGTTTTCTAGCACTTGTTGATGTAAAAAATAGCTAAATATGTTTAAAAGTTAGCTTATTTTGGGCTGTGACCTTTTCTAATAGCCAAATTTAGCCAGAAAATTAGTGAATTGACAACTCTAATGCTAAGGCCAGCCCCAATCCAAAGGGAAGGCCTAACATACATACATATTGGGAGTTTATATATATGTACTTCGTACTTTGATTTATTTTTAAACTCTTAGGCCATTTTACTTAATAGGTCAGCGGGTGTGTCAATTTAGTTCAGCTTTAAAATATGGCTGAGCACCTTTAGCAGAAACTGTAATTAAATTGATATTAATCAAGCCAAGTTGCTGGGCCATTGTTGCTGTTGCTATCTAATCTTGACGTTTATTTATAAAAGAAGTGCGCGTATATATATGTGTGTGTGTGTGTGTATATGGCGGATGTGCAGTGTGACATGTCTGGAAAATTTTTTTAAAAATAGATTTATTGATTGTAATACAATTTGCTGCACACACACCCACACAAATCGCACACTGGGCCCCTCTGATTGTAATTTCAAACTAGCCCTAACAAACCTGGCGCAGCAATAGCCTTTAACGCAGCTGTATATGATACGGTTATTTTTTTTTTTTATATAAAACTAGATGCTCGGTCGAAGAGCTACAACCCACGACCCACGACCCACCACCCGCCGCCCACAGGCAATGGGAAACAGGACCTGCGCAGTGCACAGCCGCCACAGTGGGGCGGCTGTCAGGGCTCATCATAATTTGCTTATTTTATGGAGTGAGGAGAATGGAGGCTAACAATGTTCACGGTCACGGGCAGGAGAGTAAAGTTGAGTAGAGTGGAGTGGAGTAGGGCAGAGTGGGGTAGAGTGGGGTAGAGCTAGCTTTACGTACCAGAACTTCATAGCAAATTTCTCTAAGCTCCTTCTCCACACGCTCTCTGTACTCGCGGGCGAGCTGTTGTTTTCTGGCGGATGCTTCGGTTTTTTGCTCAATGGAGGAAATAACACGCCACGATGACCTGTTGTTGTATATAATTGATTATTATATATATATACATGTATATATGTTGTATATGTTAAAAGTCAGTTGTCGCATTGTGACATTTACCTGCGCGCTCCAACCACATTTTTGTAGGCAACGGAGAGCAGATTTCTTTCCTCATTTGACAGCTCGACGCCCGTCTCTGTGACTGATTTCATGGCCTGGGCCATGTCATCGTAGCTATAATCGAATTGTAAAATTGAATTATTCAATTCTTTGATCTGGGCAATAGCACAAAAGCACTTACCGTTCTGACTGCTCGGCCAATTTTGCCTTCTGGACCAGCTCTTCCTTATCGACTGTCGACATTTTGTGGCTTTTTTTGTTTTTTAGTTACTTGACCAAACTAATAATATGAATAATTTGTGTAGGTGTGTCTGTGAGTGTGTGTGTGTTCACGACCTCTGTTGCAGTTGATAGACAGCAGAAAAATTAATTAAAGTAAGAGGAATCCACAGCTCAAAGCGTCGCTCACAGTGTGTGACTGGTTATCTGGAATAAAACGAATAGAAATAGAAATATAAATATAAATGCATTCAATTAATACTAAATTAAATTGAATTTCCCACGCGGCACATCCATTATTAATTGGCAACCTGTTCGAGTGAAACGCTCAAACACTCGCACTTTTCTCTTTACGATTATGTATTAAGGGAATTTAGAATTCATTTATGCCGAGGAACCACCCACATCTTAATTGGAAAGCAACGATTAATTCATTTATTTTTTTTTCGCCAAATTTCAATACGCATATCCTTTGGCAATACACACACACCCACACACACACATACGCACGCACACACACACAGACACTTATGCAAACTGACATACAGCTACACAAAAGCGGAAGCCCGAATAATTATCTGCCGCTGCTATGTTGCTCTTCCGACCAGGCCCGAAACTCGACTAAAACGAGAACTTGCCCGTGTTTGGCTGTGGCGAAATGGCCAAAAGACTGAGCTGTTGCGAAGGAGCAAAGCTTGCCGGCGGCGTTGGCAGCGGCAGGAGTCGCATGCACATAGCAGCTGCGCGTTGCAAACTTCTGATGATATTGAAATATGTTAGCGGTAAAAGGATGTGTCTTAAACAAGCTGTGCCCATCAATGTGTGTGTGTACATGGAAATAAAAACTAGCTATATATATATATATATATAAATATACATATGTATATACATGCATATACATACATATATTCACATGCTAAAGGATTTCAATTTGCATTGGGCAGTCATAAGATGAGTCAAAATTTAACAGCTTTGTTTTCGAGTTCACAATATTCATGTGCTACAATTAGCATTAATATATATATATATATATATGATGACTGAATCATCAAGAGCTTGCCATATCTGTATTGCATTTAATTTCAATCGCAAGTATTTTTAACATAACACGTTGAGTATAAGTATAAAGTAGTGGAAAGAGTTGTTGCTCAAACTCGCATTGATGATAAATAATGAAAAATATCTAAACGCAACGCTTGCCTGGTTTTAATGTCAATAAATTGCGTTTTATGGTAAACAGCGAGTGAGTCACATGTTAACATTTGGATTTTATATTTAACATGCATGTTATGTTGCGAAAGGGTAACCTGTTGCCTTCAACTAACGGCTGAATGCTTCCAGCTACATGACTTTATGTGCTGGCATTACATAAATATTGATTGATTGTTATTTATAAATAAACGGCGACTGAGGCTGATTGATACATTTTCCATTATCCTTGGGGGGACTCTACAAACATAACGACAAAATTATTATCCCCAAAGAAGCTCTGCCAGGAGGACATTTGCCCTGGCTTTTAGCATAATGTGCTTTTGACAGGTACAAACTGATGTTTGAGTGTGTGTGTGTGTGTGAGTTGTATTGAAGGGTGTGTGTTTGTTCGTGTGCTTGGGTGTGTGTTTCAGTTTGTGTTTGTGATTTAAATTGTTTGTGAATACTATTACACGTGCCATGGCTTTTGGCGATAAATCTGCTTGTTTAGCGAGGCCCAACTTCAAGATGCACATTGATACGAAAGCAATGGGCATGGGGAATGTTAAAAAGTCAAAAAGCAGCGGCCACGACAAGCAAATGGAATGAAAAAACAAAAAACAGAAAATAAACCAACATACATACACATTGAGAGAAAAGTTAAAAATAAACTATGAATAAAAATTGAAAATGAAATAAAAGAGAGAAATCTTTGGCTATATGTGTGCGTGTGTGTGTGTGTGGTATGTGAAAAAGCGCACATACTTATAGATATGTACATATATATTACTTGTATGTATTCAGATGTCAAAGATAAATGCACAATGACCCCAATGCACAAATCTCAACATGGTAACAAAACTTAAACAAACCTTGTAAAGATCTCCAATTATGGGCATCCAATAATATTAGCATTGTAACTTATTGGAAAATAACTATATTACTTACTGCACGCATGTAGATATGTACGTATATAGACTTATACATCTGTAAGTACATGTATGTAGTTCATTGGGCACCCACCCACTTGTTATCTTATTCTGTAAACGATCGCATCCGACCGTCAAAATTTAAAACATTGAACCTTAGGCTGCACACAAGTGCAGGTAAATACACATATGTATACATATGTATGTATGTACATACATACCTACATACCCACCTACTAAATGCCATGTATGTATGTATATATGTTTGTATGAATAGCAATTTTTGGCGCTGCTCGTTTTTAGGTCAATTGACGTGTTTTTCGTACAGTTATTGACAAAAATATAAATAAAAGAGATGAAAACAAAAGCTAAGCAGACCGCAACGGCGGAGTTTGGGTATGATTTTGATTTGAGCATTCCAAAAGTGTTAGGTATGTATGTATGGGTGCGTTTAAATAGCTATACACCCAGGCAGCCACTCCCGCCTTTCGGATAGTGGAGCCCACAAAATCAGCTCGCAGCAATGAAGCGGATTGTATGCGTCATGGGCTGTGTCATTTTTTGGATATGCCTCACAATGAGGAAGTAGTGTGCGACTGCAAGAGGCGATCACAAACTATTTTTAATGTAAAAGTGTATGCACATTTGTATATGTTTGTATGTAGCTAACACATACATGTGCGTACGTTTGAGCAATTGTGTTTCATAAAAAAGTTAAAGAAAACCGCTAATAATTGGCGAAATGTCAGTGCGACGTCGGCGGCATTGGCTTCGGTCACTGGTACAGATTGAAGATAACGGCAAATAAAATTCGAAACCGTTTGTTGAATTCTGCGATGACGGCAACTTTGAGTGCTGCAAAACGGCGCTGGCCTATCCGAATGCCAGTGTGTATGTGAGTGTTGCGAGTGTGTTGGAAAACACACCACACCGGGCGGCAAAGTGTAAACTCACCACACCGGCCCCATGAGGTCGTCGCGACAGAGATTCGGCTACATGCGCAGTACAGAAGAAAAAATACGACTATAGAGAAATGCAGATAAGCACAAAATTCCAATACACAACGATTTGAAAAATATACACCTCAAGGGAGCTTTCAACAGTCATATTGCATGCCTATTAAATATATTGAACATTTTTGAATCGGTTTAAGAATTTTAAAAGAAAGAAATCAAATTATATACATATTGTCAAATGAATGTACGTACAATTGTACATAAGCTAACAAGAAACAAGTGTGTCTGCAACATATTGAGGGGGTGGGTGGTGAAGAGCACGCAACAAAATGTATAAAAATAATCCCACCGGAGAGAACGATAAAGAGAACACACTTCCAAACGGGCAAAGACAGCAGCGGTTGCGAGAGCAGTGCGGCATAAAAGAACACGTAACCGCGTGTGTTGTCCACTTACATACATACATACATATATCGTACATTTAACGTACATACATGTATGTACAAATGCTCATATATCTATTTAGATACACATATGGAGGTATATATTATAACATATATGTATATATGAATTCTTAAGTATATATGTATGCATCTGTGGTGAGTTGTGACGCAGCAAATCCAATAAAAACCAAATTAGCGATGTACGTGCATAAATGCATATACATCAATATGTTAGTGTCTATGAAAGAAATCCAAAACGATTTCTTTTGAACGTTTCTTTTTAACAAAACGAATATTGCAGCACACTTTTCAAAGGTAAATGTGCATATGCGTAATACATTCGGACTGGCGTACTCACACACATACATTCGTTCGTTCGTATGCATGTATTTGAGCTATTGACGACTAAAACGCCTAGCGACCAGAACACACTTAAGCACCACAATTCGCCTTCGCATTAGCCAAGTCAGTTGTTGCCACGGCCGCCAACAATCAACCGAAAGCACTGAAAATACGAAGCTACAAACGAATCTCACTTCTACATACACACACACACACACAGACACAAATACAAAATTTACCAATACTCATGCACAGCGGGCATTTGTACATACGTATGTATTTTTGCACAAATTCACAGTTCTGAACATTTTCGTCTTTTTGCGTAGTATTTTTATCGATCGTTCAATGGAAGCATGTAGAAAAATTTTCATGCATGCGGCGTTTGCACATGTCTCGATGAATTGAAAAATATCGGATATATTAACGTTGCATAAACTACCGATATGCACATGTTTATTGCATCGCCTTAAGTTGCTTAAGGTTTTATAATTAATATATACATCTCTCAGTACATATATTTCGCCCCATATTACTAATGCAAATTGGTTACCTTACATTCGATTCACTCGAAACGACAACGACGACTACCAACGAACGGCGAACGACTAAAAGTGACGGCAAATGTTGCACACAGTAAGCGCTGTATCTGTGTGTACGCCTCTGCACACACATTCATAAGCACATACATAGGCGGCAGCGCATGCCGCTACACCAGACGAGAGAGTAAAAGAGAGAGAGAGCAAAGAGTGGAAATAGGTAAAAATGAGTAAATACCAGTAAGTGTTGCCAACCTGGCCGCAAAACAAAGTTGCCAGGTGTGATAGAAGTGGAATGGGTTCGTTAAGTTTCAAATGACCTGTTGTTGTTATGCTGAAGGCACAAATTGGAGCACACTATTACTAAGAATTAGGAAGATTGGGTTATTGCCGCAAGTAAATTAATTACTAATTGTGCATTTAGGCGTATCGCACATTTTGACGTTAAATGCCAGTAGTTACAACTTGTTGGCCCACTACAAGTTGCAGTTTGTATGTGCATGACGCATGCCACAGAAATGTTGGGGAGGAGCTTGGCCAGCGTTTGCTGCTGTCGTCAATTGTGCGCAATTGTCGTTTAATTGAGTAATTTGAATGAGACGTACGTCCGTATGTTAAATTTTTAAATTCGAATGTTACCGAGTTGTATTTGTGGCCTTGTACGTGCCGCCTATTTGCGCGTTGTAAAATTTATCAACATGTGCAATTTACAATGAAAAAGCTATTATGTATATACTTGCAATAAAATATAAAAGTAATTCAAAGGAAAATTTGTTTTGATTACTCCCTGCGGCATTTCGTCTTAATCTAAGCCCTTGAATTGCGCTTCACACACACATACAAATTGTACCTGTTAAAACCTTCTAGCTCTTATCTGGCACACTGATTAAATTTATTTTTCAACTTCACGGGCTGTGACGGCGGCTTATCAGCAATTATGTGCTCTTGATAAGCCACAGTAAATTATTGCCTTAATACTAATGTTGGTTTTCATTGAATTTGCTCTGGGCGCTAAGCATATCCGAGTCGAGGAAGGCAGCGCGCTTTCAACGCTTTTTGAATTCTAACTGATTAAAAAGTTTTTTTTTTTGTTGGCAATGCTGTTACGTTTGACTCGGCAATGCACAGAATTACGTCATCAGCGTCCTACTTGAAACAGTAAATTTGTCAAGATGCGTTTATCAATTTTTCATTCTTGATGTTACACAACTTGTATCTAACACGGCGCTGCTTTATCATGTTGCAATTTGCAGAATTATTAATTAATTCACTTAGAGTTTTGGATCAATACATGGGAAAAATGCGGTTTCAGTCTCGCCGACAACATGGCGCTCCAAGTAACACAATGCGTATATGCGACAAATATTACTCACTGCGCCTATACAAAACTATAACTTTTTAATATTGGTGGACGACACTGGTACTGGTTTAAACACTATTATTGTATAATTATATTTTTTAATATAATATATTAAATATTACTACGTAAACACACCTTTCGTCGGCTATTGCTGCAGTGTGACCAAGCTACGAAATCGTAATAACCCATAATTCTTGTTAGTGTGACCGCGTGTTATTATAAAACCAGGTTGGCAGTCCGACATTAATCGATATAATGTGCATCGATACAATATTCATCGTAGCGGTCGCACGTGTTTACTTCGGTGTTTAAACTTTTAAAAGATTCAAGTTAGAAATATATATAAGTTGCTAAAATGCCGCGCTCTAAACGTGATAAGAAAGGTACACAGTAGATTTGCCCATCTTAATTAGTGCAACGTTATTAGCATTGTTTCCCCACTTGCAGTTTCTTTAACCAAAACCGACCGCAAGGGTCTGGCGTGGAAGCAGCGCTTCATCGACGACATACGATTTTGTGTTGAAAAGTATCCCAATATATTCGTGTTCCAGGTGCAGAACATGCGTAATAATCTGCTTAAAGATCTGCGACAGGAATGGAAACGCAACTCGCGTTTCATATTTGGCAAAAATCGTATTATGCAAATCGGTTTGGGCCGCACAAAAGCTGAAGAAATGGAGACGGGCATACACAAGGTTCGCACCACGATATACAAACGTATATAGAAAAATCTAAAAGTCTTTAATTTAACATACTTTTCAGCTATCAAAACGCCTCACTGGACAGGTGGGTTTGCTGTTCACAGAAAAGACCAAAGAGGAAGTCCTGGCATGGGCCGAAAACTATTGGGCTGTAGAATATGCGCGCAGTGGATTTAAGGCCACAGAGACAGTGACTTTGCCCGCAGGACCTCTGGAGGAGTTTGCACACTCAATGGAGCCGCATCTCCGTTCCCTCGGCCTGCCCACGAAGCTGGAGAAAGGCGTTGTTACCATATACAGCGATTATACTGTGTGCGAGGAGGGCAAGGTGTTGACGCCGGAGCAGGCGCGCATTCTGAAATTGTTGGGAAAACCAATGGCAAAGTTTCGTTTGACCATGAAGTGTTCGTGGACTAAGGCTGATGGATTTCAGCTGCATGTTGAAGACGATTTAGAGGATAAAGCAACAGACAGCCCAATGGAAGAGGATGACACTGAAAATAATGATGATGATGCTGCTGCTGCTGATGATGATGATGATGATGAATAATTAGCTAATATTTCAAATAGAAATTAAGTTTATGAATATGTATATAATAATTATATATGTAGCTATTACAAGTTTTTGTAAACAAATCAATCCTGCTTACTTTGTGGCCTAGTTTCTTTAGGCCGATGAGAGATTGCCGCTGCCGCTGCCCGCACCCTTCTTAGTGGGTCGATATGCAATTACATAACGTTGTGCCACGGGCAGAGGCTCTGCATAGCCATTCAAATAGGACGAATCCTCGAACAGCACCTCATACTCTTCGGTCGCTGTTTGTGGCAGACGATGGACAATGGCTTTGTAGAAGCATGTTGTTTGTGGATAAAGAGCCATCACTAGAGATTGGAGAGAAGATGCATTAGTCGATTTAATTGCAATAAGTCGAATATCACGCACCGACTGTGTCCTTGGGAAAGAGCGCATGGCCGTCGGTCTCCGGATTGGCGCGCATTAATGGCAACGGTATTACTTTGCGCTTGCTGAGCACGTGGCGATCCTTCTGCTCCTCGTCAATGTCAATGACATCGTATTTGTTTTGTCGATGCAGAAATTGCACCACCTCGGCCAATATCCAGTTCTCCTCCTCGTCGATGCCCTTCGCCAAGGCCGCCACATTGTCACCCACTTTGGCCACATAGTTGTTCTCCGCTGGTATAGCGCCGCACAGTGCTGGCGCGCGCTCGCCCGGCTTGCCCACGAACAGAGGCAACGTCTGGGCAGAAAGCTGCACCATTTTCATGAGTGCACCACGACGAATGGCCTCCTTGTTGCCAGCGTTGCGGGCCTGTGCAGATGAGCGACGGTTACAATATTAATCTTTATGGAGATTAGGTATATATGGACAGTTGACTCACCTGAATGCGACGTTCGTTTCGTATGTTTCTGATTTCATGTATTTTGGCCAGCGCTGCTCGAATTGTGGCCTCCTCCTGCGTTGCTTCCAGAATTTTGGCCTGAAGGAGCGTCTTTAGTTTTGGATTGGGCGTCTGGCTTTGCTGTGCACGCACAAGGCTGGCAATTGAACTTTCAGCACGTCGCCGTTCACCGTCCACTTTGTGGATATGTTGTTGTATATCCTTCAGGCGATCCTGGTTGGGTATATGGTAAATACAGTAGGTTTATTATTAAAGAAAAACTTCAAATGTAGTTGTTACACACCTGAATCTGCTGCGCAGCACTCTCTGCAGTAAGTGGCATTGTGTATCGACCGTTAATCAAAATTTGTTTATATTATTTTTGTATGTAAACTAAATGCTGCACTTTTTGTTTTGTGGAATGATGATGGAATGATACATCAGCCCTTGTGCTAATATTTTTTATGTATTCGCAGATGTAAAATGAGCTAAAAAATGTTGAAGCTGCTAGAAACTGGCTATTTATAGCTATTAGCTATTTTGCGTATACGAGACACATTCACAATAGAGACCATATAACTAAAATACTAGATATACTGTCGATTTGCGTTTCCCATTGCTTGTGTTCGATAGGCTTATCGGGCGTCTATCGGAAGACTGCCGCACTTTACGGTGAAAGCTGGGGAAAGTCGTTTTTAAACGTAGTGCTTGGCATTGTTTATATTAGCGCGAACCTAAAATGTTTTCGGCAACGTGCGTGGCTCCCGTTAATATGGCCCTGGTTAAATATTGGGGCAAACGGAACGAGGAACTGATACTGCCAATCAATGATTCCGTCAGCATGACGCTGGACGCAAATGAAATGTGCGCAAAGACCACAATAACCACCTCGGAGAGCTTTAAGCAAAATCGTATGTGGCTGAACGGGGAGGCGGTGCCCTTTGAGGAGAATGCACGCCTCATGCGTTGCCTGGAGGGTGTACAGCGTCTGGCCCTAGCGAACGGTGCTCACAAATTTCCGCTTTCCTGGAAGCTGCACATCGCTTCGTACAATAATTTTCCCACTGCCGCGGGGCTAGCATCGAGTGCTGCTGGCTACGCCTGCCTCGTCTACACGCTGGCCCGTCTCTACGAGATACCCCTGAACGAGGAGCTAACCACAGTTGCGCGTCAGGGCAGCGGCTCAGCGTGTCGCAGCCTCTACGGCGGCTTTGTGCACTGGCGTCGCGGCTCGAGTGCCGACGGCAGCGATTCGATCGCTGTGCCGCTGGCGCCCGCTGGCCATTGGCCCAATATGCACATGCTGATACTGGTGGTCAACGATGCACGCAAGAAGACCGGCTCCACCAAGGGCATGCAGCTGGGCGTCAACACCTCCTCGCTGATACAGTATCGCGCCAAAGAGGTTGTGCCGCAGCGTGTCAAGGAGCTGATGGCGGCAATTGAGAGCCGCGACTTTAAGGCATTCGCTGATATCACCATCAAGGAGTCGAATCAATTGCACGCCATTTGCTTGGACACATATCCGCCGTGTGTCTACATGAACGATGTCTCGCACGCGATTGTCAATTTTGTGCACGATTACAATGAGACGGTGGGCTCCTTGCAGGCCGCCTACACCTTTGATGCTGGCCCAAATGCTTGCATTTACGTGCTGGCTGAGCATGTGCCTCGTCTTTTGGCTGCCATTCAATTGGCGTTTCCCAATGATGCGCAACAGAGCGTTGAATACCTCAAAGGGATTCCGGTGCCGCCCGTTGAGCTAAAGAACGGTCTAAGGGATGCCTCCATCGGGCATATCAATCCCAAAAATATGCTCAAGTACATAATCCACACGAAAATTGGCGAGGGTCCGTACCAGCTAAGCGACGAAAAGAGTTTGTTAATTGACGGTTTTCCACTGCCCAAATAATATTACTAAATACCTTAGACTCTTCCTAGATTCCGGGCTCAATTTTACACGCTTGAAATAAGTTGACTTAATTTATTTTTGACTATAACTAGAAAAATCTAGCTAAGTTCGGGAACTTTCATTTTTCATTCCTTTTTCTTTGTACTCATATGCATTGTTTATTTTTTTATTGTTGGCACATTTACAATTAACACTTCATTTTTTTTTCCATTCTATTCTGGTTTTGTTATTCAAATAAAGCTGCTCGTTTAACCTTTCGCGTTCGTGTGAATTTTAAAAACCTATAAGTTATTTATATATATATCGCATATATCTTTAAACACCAAATATTTTGTATTTATAATTTCTTGCTTTTTTTTTTAAATTTAAATTTCACAATTCGTATTAGTTCATTGTGGACAAATGAAACTAACACCAGTGTGCGTCCAGTTCATAGAGATGGGAGCTTGATCAGCTCCGTTATGTGCCTTAAGCATGCATTACGTAAACAGTGTTGCCAACTTTAAAAAAGAAGCTGAATCTAATTTAATAGCTGAACTAGCTTTTTGCACAGTATGTACTTCAAAATTTCACTGTTTTCGGCTGACGGCTAGATTTAGCTAGAAAATAGCCGAACTGGCAACACTGCTCGTAAATGCTTGAACAGAATCGAAATAACTTAAAAACCTATAACAAATGGCAAAGGTGACAATAATATTAGTCTCATGACATCTATGAATATCTCGAATTTGAATTAAATAATCCAAATGTCTAACAAAAACAATGTTCAAGTAGAATTGTATATTTTATAGTCGTAGTCATGTAGTAACTAATAAGACAACTTTCTCCAAAACAAATATTTTATTGTTTTGGAAAAAAAAAACACCTTGGTATTAGAATTTGTACAAGCCCTACCCTTAAACGTGTTTAGATAAACTTTGTAAGCTGCTTTCCAAAAAATGTTACAGAAAAATCTATATGCAAAGAATAAAAATGTGTTTTCAAACGTGAATTCAGATAATTGTTTCAATCTGAAAACTATTTGTCAGTCTATTAACTATTTATCTATTTCCCAATTCAAACTAATCAAAAATCAGCCAATAACAGGACAATAAATGGAGCTGGACAAACTGCAAAAGCTCCTCCACAGCTATAAAATCGTTCTAAAGTTTATGTAAATATATATATATATATTTTCTTAGAATCAACATATAGTAATACTTGATCTTAAAAATAGACATAAGGGTAACCATAAGTATGCTTGTATGTACATCTAGAACTAAATAAAAAAGCACTTTTCAAAAGCAATTTAAAGAACTGCGCTGCAAATAAGGCATTGCACTTTAGTATAATCAAGGCTTAGGCAAAAATTAACGTTTTCTGTATAAAAAGGCACTATTAGCTAAATGGGTTGCGTTAGTCAGCCCGTGGACTCACTGCAGTCCGTCAAATGGTCGATTGCGTCAATTACAACATGATTAGTTGGGAGTGTGTCTAAATCGAAAGTATTCGATGATGCATTAAGTAATAGTTCTAGCGATATCTCCTGCTCCAAGGCCACTGTAGACAACAGCACTACACCACTTTCCGCATCTACGGCTGTTTCGATGGTGTCTTCTAGTTCCTGATCTTGTTGGTCTTCCGTCTCGGCTTCAGTATCATTGTCGTCTGATATTAAACTAGACATATACTGCTCCACAGTCTCCTCGGCGATATCCCTATGTTATTTGCCCGCGAGCAGAGCGGCATTGGCAATTGCCTGTACGGTGCATCCGGCTTCCACATGCTCCATGACTTGTTGCTTCAGCTGTGCCACATGATCCTTCAAACTTTTCACAATGCCTGCCAAATCGGTATTCTCGCCCTTAAGTAATTTCACACGATCCTCCAGCTTCGATATGCGTTCCAGCTTGCGCTTGCGACATTTGGAGGCCGCCACACGATTCCGTTGACGCTTGCGCTCCAGTTTAATCTTTTCCTGATCTGCCATATCAATTGGACTAACCGTTGGAGAAGAGACCGCAATATGTGGTTCATCCTTGATGACGGGGAAGCCCTCTACAAATCAAAATCAAACATTCGCCTGTCTTCTATAATATAAAGCTAGACAGTACTCACCCACGTTGGTGTAGGTAAATGTGCCCCCACTGATGCCATTGTTCACGGCAGTCATCGTGGGCGCGGAAGCAGCTGGATTGCTGGCAACCGGGGCATTGTTGACATTGTTACCCAGAAACGCCTGCGTATTCTTGCTGGTATGTAGGTTTTGGAGTGCTTCTTCAAATCCCTTGCCGAATTCCTCCTGCTCCGTGGTGATTTGACCCACTTTAGTGGGGAATACCGTGCCCGGCTGTGGCGTCTGCAGCATGTTGCCCGATAGCAATATTTTCTCAAGGTCCGGAGTGTTTAGCGTTTTTCCAGGTACATCGGGCGAATCAATTAGTAGGGGTGCCATTGCGCGCTTGTTCTTCTTGTTGAGGTCCAGGAAAGCAGGACGCTTGCTAACGTTGGGAGTGGAACTGCTGTTGGGTGTCTGAAATTCCATTGACTCCTCGGTCCCAATTGCTTCCGGCTCCGTTTTAGGTACTACAGGTGCAGCGGTCGCACTACTACTGTTTGTGTTGCTGGCAAGAGCAGCAGCGGAAGCGGCAGAAATTTTCATTTTCCTTTGAATATGACGTCAGACTGATTACAAAAAAGCGAGTAAAAAACAAAGCAAAAGCTTGTGTGTCGCTGTTGTCGTGATAACTTGTTTTAGATGATGACTCATCGCTCCCTCTCACCCGCCCGCACAGAAATACCAAATACAATCGCAAACTCAAACATGCGCACACGCACGCACACACACACATACACTCGTACACAACCCAAATATGTTTTGTCGACCTTACTTACCTATTTCTAGCGAAATTGGATTCTACCGGTGGCTGAAACTATTTTCCACAATAAATATTACGTAAAGTTCTGTTTTAGAGAATATAATTTTAATAATATTTAAAACGACACGGCAATTGCGTTGTATTCTCTTGGTTTTACTATTCACAGTGAAGCACTTTTGATGTTGCCACATCTATTTAAAATCGGAATCAGCTGATTGTTCCAAATATCGATGGGCCCGATATAATGCAATCGTAAATATCGATAAGGTCGCTTCTTCTTCCTCTTCTTTTCCGCTGAGCTGTCAAAAACGTAGGTCGCAATTGGAATAAATAACAATATTAATTCAGCAAAAAAATGTATTTTGCTAAGCCATCGGCAACTCTGTCAATTAATATTGCAGAAAGAAAACAATCAATTGTGTACTTTAATGAATATTTTCTGTTTTCATGTTGTGCCATCCGCTGACTGCTCGCCGACTTCTGCCGCTAAAACAGTTTGATAATTCGCAATGGCCAAGTCAAAGAATCACACCAATCACAATCAGAACAAGAAGGCTCATCGCAATGGCATCAAGCGCCCAATGCGCAAACGCCACGAGTCTACCCTGGGCGTAAGTCAAAATTTACCTTATTGAAGATTCCCAAAATTATAGCATACCCCGTATTTCTCCACAGATGGACGTCAAGTTCTTGATCAACCAGCGATATGCGCGTAGGGGTAATCTTTCCCGCGTAGAGGCAGTCAAGCGCTACGAAGAACGCATTGCTGCTCAGCAGGGCAAACCCAAGCCCGTTAAGTTGTAAATTCCCAGCCGCATTCGATCTTGTTTTGAGTGCAAATCGTGTGTTAGAATAAAGGAAAAAAACATTTAACGAAATTACCCAATTTTGTTTGATTCACGGCCTCCGTTGGTATAAGGACTATTATGATTTGTATATGAGTAAACACCCGATCCTTCGACGGGTGGGGAGGGGGTTATATATTGACAGGATCTATACTCGAAGCATAAAGCGGGTCAGGTACAAGGAGAGCATTTTAATTAAGAATAACCAATCATTCCACCTACACTTAATTATTAAGTCAAATCTGCTAAACTCAACAAGATACAGCTTCTTAGGCCAAAAGATCTACGAAATTGTTTATTTTGCCATGATTACCCCTTACAATCATTTAGATATCGATAATTGCTGGGGATACGCGGTTGACGCGGTTGGCATTAATATGCACGTTTTGACGTTTATCAGTCTGGCAACATTAGACTTTGCCAAGCAAACAATTCGGCGAACACCCAATTGTATGAAAATTCGTAAATGCTTTCGCCATTGTTTGTTGGGTAGCAAACAGCAGCGAACGTAGAACTGTAGTTCGGTCGCTATATATGTAACTTAATTTAATAATAGTACACTTTATAATAGAGTGTGAATACATAGTTTCATAATTGTGTTTAATATACTATTCGCCAATTATGTAAATAGTGAAAATCTAATAGTTCTATTCAAATGCAAATAGTGAAAGAATCATTTTTCGCGCAGTGTGCTGCGGATGCTTGGTGCTCGTCTATATGTACGTGAATATGTACATATGTATATATTTTATTGTGTGTTCGTGACAGTTTATTTAATACATCTATAACCGACATAAGTAATTTTAACTGTTAAAGTGTTAATGCTATAAAAAATAGTCTAAGAGCCATTGCAGGCACGAATATAAACTGTTTTATCGACGTTTCATTGTCGCACATAGAAAATCGCATACAGTGACACACGTGCGTATCTACATACAGACAGAACCACATACATACATACCTAAGTACACACACACAGGGCAACGCTCAGCTGTGCTCAGCTGTCGTCTGTTGTCAATGCGTCTGATCCTGCCAGAGTGTTTTGTTTTTGCGCGGCATTTTTGTATAACGGTGTATCGTTCCTACGACAACAACAACAATTGATTGATTCAACCGGTGAGTGGCAACTCTCTTGTATATATATATGTATGTACACACATACATATATATTAAAAGCAGGCAATTAATTTGTTTATATCAACTTTTGTTTTCGCAGTAAATCGACAAAACTAGTAATTTATCATATGTACAATTTATTATTTACCTTGCGATTTGCCTTAATAATGCTTAGTAAGACATGAGCCCAGACAATTACCCGTAGCAAATATTCCACAGTCACGTTTGTCTATTATCCACAATTGAAAAGAATTTTGCGCCGTCATGAGTTCGCATTAAATAAAGATGTGCTAATTTATTTAATAATATTGTCATTTGTGTGATAAATCAATTTGCTTGCCTGTAGATTTGTCGTTAACACACAAAAAAAAAGTCGAAATCATATTGTGAACTTAAAGATGAAGTACAGTTTTGCATAGTCAGAAAAATAACTAATTTCCATTCAACTGAATACTTTTATAATGTACAATCTTAAAGTAGCCATAAGAATGCTGAATTTTATTATTCTGAATGTTTTACATTTCAATTGAACACATGTTTTTCAAATTGAATATTTTTGTTTTCTTTTTAATTTTGGTTTTACATACATAATTCATTTCCATAGCGAGTTCTTTCGTCTGAGATGGTCATATTCTTATTAATAAGAAAGATCTTTTGTAAACAATTTATTTATCGTATATATTCTACTTATAGTAATTGCAAAGTATTTAATAGGCGGAAATGAATATAAATTACTTCCGATTTTTGCGTGGCGCTCTATAATGTCCACAGGGGTTTCTTTGTTATCCGTCATAATTGAAATGAATATGTCTTAATGCCAGCGCACTTCAAGTAAGCGCACTTTATCTTCATTGTTTTTGTGCCATTCGTGTTTACCAACTGTTGGCACTGAGCTTATCATTGAGAGTGCGCGATAAGAAGGCTAGTTGAGCAGAGATATGTTCGGCATATATTTTATTGTACTATCAATCTGTTGGCGCTTTGCCTTGTCAATGCCAATGCATTGCAATGTTGTATGATTAATGCTCTTGTCAATATTTGGTCGATTTTGAAGATAATACATAAATTAAAGAACTCTTCTTTAAAAACAGTTCGGTTAGTATCAATTATCTTTAATCGTATTAAAGAAAATTGATAACTCGCAGTGTGCTGTATCTGAGATTCTATAACAATCCTTTTATATAATGTAAATATACATTTATAATGTAAATATACATTTATAATATAAATCTACAAACATACATACATATATATATGTTAATATTTATTATTTACCAAAAAAAAAAACAAATATAGCTGAGGGGATTTAACAGAATGCATGTATATATATGTTTACACATACACACACATAAGCAAGTACATACGTATATGCACACATACATACACATACATATACATATGCATACATATACACATACTTGCAAAGTTACACACAAAAATAATATTCATTTTGTTGCCAACACTTCACTTCCTAACAAAGCATGAAGACATGCAGGGCCTACTTGACTTTATGAGAATCGCGTAGTAGGGCACCTTTTGAAAATACGATTTATTTTAATTTGTAGGTGTTAGAGAACATTTATACATACATGCATGCATACGTTCATCCACACATGCATACCTATATACATACACACATACATACACACATACGTACATGCATACATAAGTACATACATACATACATACATTCATGCATGCCTACATACATACGTACATACATGCATTCATGAATGCTTACATACACACATTCATACATGCATACATACATAGATACATACAAACATACACACAGTCAATAATTATAACAGTTTGAAGTTTATCAGTCAGTCAGTTAATCAGGACAATAACTTTTATCTATTCCGATTTAGCATAAAAATAATTCAAAAATTTTATACATGTATTTCACCTCTCGCTCTTTGGTAGTGCTCCAACAAATTATAGGGTATATTTTGTTCAAGTACTCGCCAACACAGATCTAATAAATATCTTATCATAATAATGCGATCAAATTGATGTTAATTTTTCTGCTCACAAATGTTGAAATTAATAAATAAAATCGACTGCAAATAGCCATTGGCTGAAAAGTTTTGCAGTTGCGTCCGAAAGTCTGAAAGCGTCGCAAATACTTTTTAAGCTATAAGCTCAATGTGACACAGTTTTTAAGTAATATATCAAAAGTTAAAATGGTCAACGATTTGCCAGTTTATTCCATATCGCATTTTCTGGAATCCCATTCGCTACACGAAGCCGCTGGCACTTCTCTTTCGCAAGTAAGTCTTATTCCAAGTCTAGCATCGAATTACTCAAATGAGTCAACAGTCAAACATTTCTACTCGATACCTAAAACGTCTGCATATAATGCATTGTGCTACAGCCGCTCATGAAATGCTCTCCGATTTGTTTTTTAAAGTGAATGATTTATTTTGCAGTCTGGCGTATTTGTTAGAGCGAAAATTGATCAAAAAAAAAATGGGTGTATTCGTAATGTTGAACGAGGCACATTCGCTTTCATAGTAAATACATACATACATATGTATATTCTAGATCAAGTTGAAAATGTATAAAGAAAATGGGTGTAATCGTTAATGTGTACCAGGCACCTTCGCTGCCATAGGGTATAGATATCCTAGCTGAGAGTTTATTCATTTGATACCCTCCCTCATTTCTTAAATATCCAATAAGTATCAAGTTTACACCTAGGTTTTAGAAACGTATCATATCTCATATTGTATCTTAGAGATTGGTCAAACCACATTTTGTATATTTGTTACCCTATACTGTACACAGATCAAGAATATTTCTCGTTTTACCCGGAAATTATCCCTCCCAGAAAAATGCATGACTGCGCTTTTTGCCCCTGCCTTATTCGATAAAGCTCTGGTTGAAGATCCCTTGTCCGGTCATTTTGTACTTAGTTTATATAATAATTATATAATATATAATAACAATAGTCCTAATGAAAAGGGAGTATCACAGAAGAGAGGGGACGGCGGCTTCTATGATAGTAGACCAAGTGCAAGTACTTGTTGCTGGTTCTAGTGTTTTGTTTCTGTCTTGGCTATTCTCGGAATTGTTGACAGACCGACGGCAGACGAAGCACACTCAGAAATTGTTTGGCAAGTTGTATTAAAATAATTCTACATTTTTACAGGCATACATATGTATATACATAGTTGCATGTATATTTTGGCGAATAAGTATTTTTCGCTTACATTGTGGCATGATTTCTTATGCAACAATAAAGTTTAAGCACTTTTTTACGTTCCCGAAACCTGTCTATATAGTATATAAAATTGTTTGTGCTGCTTGACTGATTTACAAATTGTAAAAACTAGAATATTTTCAAGTAGTTAACGAACGTACGCTCTTTTGTTTGGGAAATACAGGGAGTAGTTTTAAATTTACCATCGGCTGAAGAAGAAACTCATGTGTTTTGAGAAAATCTTCCATTTTAACAGCTTTGATGGGGCTTAAATCACTGTTATTGGTTCTGGTTACAGAAAATTCCGAATTAAGTATTGTTAATTTCATAGCTTTTCTTTGCCCATATTCAAAATGTCTGCGCCTCAAAGTATACTTCAGTTATAATCTGCGCAAGCTAACACTGCCATTCATGAAGTTGCAATCGTTAGGGGTTAACAAATCTTAATCAGTTTAAACCCTTACATACCCTTCTAATTTTGTCACGCATCTTCGAGTCCATAGAGTATATGTATTTATGATCAGGATAATGAGCTGTTGATCGATATAATCAGCGTGTGTCTGTCCTATTGATGAATTTCTCAGATGAAAATCTCAAACTCAAGAAACGGGAAGAGAAATGTTTTCAGTATATTGAACTGTTCTCCATGTCATATATGTATATACATACCGGAGGGATGAGGTTTCTTCTAAGCTTTTTAAAGGATTTCTTT